TCGAAGAGCCCCGCGGATGAACCGACCTGGCCCGGCCTCTGGGACCCCACGCTGCCTGTGCCCTGCCCCAGCTGCCTGCCCTCGCATTCCTGTCCCCGAACATCATCCCCCTCCAGCTGCTGGGGAAAACAGCCCCTGCTGCCACCAGCGGCTGGGGTGCGGAGGGGGAGCCGCCTTCGCAGCACGCGGGCTCTGCGGGAGCTGGGGCTGCTGCTGGCCTTGGAAATGCAGGTTTTGTTTTTTTTTTTTTTCCTCCCAACTCCAAGAGAAGCGGGAGATGAGGCACAGCCGGCTGGCACTGTGCACCGCTCGCAGCCCTGCAGATTTTTTCCATCACCGATGGGACCCTGGCCACCCTCGCCTGGGAAACAGGTCCTCGCCGGGGAATGTGCATTGCTGTCACCCACACCCCCTTGGAAGGTATGAAGGCAGGAGATCTGGCCCCACGCCTCCTTTGCAGGCTGAGATTTGGGGGCTTTCCCCCTAATTAATGGGGAGTTTTGGTGTGATGGCTAAAAATCGGGCAATAGGACAGTTGTGGTGTCTTGGGGATGACTAGCAGCAGTGAGACAGGTCAGCTGCTCTCCTCCAACACACCACCGAGGAAATCCTGACGCCTTCCTGCTTCCCCATGAGAGTCGCAGTGTGTGTGCTGAAGGTGACTCGGAACCGCCCCAGGGGCTGGAGCTGTACTCGATACTGGGTATTGCCTGTAGACCCCAAAAAGCAAGAGGTTTTCACCAACTGGCCTGGTGATATGCAACCAGACCGTGCACCAGCACCTCAGCCAGCAGTTCTCGCAGCATCGCCCCTGGCCAAACTGGATGTCACCCGTACAGGCATGTCACCAGACTGACTGCAAATAATTCTGGATCTAAATCAGTACCACAGTCTGGGCTAAAAGTAATTTCGTGAGCTGGCTCGCTCCACTTGACCACTGGCTAATTTTTCTGGTTGTAAATTATATTTTTTCCTGTTGTGGATGAGGAAGACCTAAGGACAGGAGAAGGGCATGCTAAGGGCAGAGAAAAACAAGAAGCTGCACGTGGGATCCTGCAAACACTTCCACATTTGTGTGGCCCTCCTCAGCTTCATTACCTATGTGCCGGAGCAGATCTGGAGTACACCAGCAAATACACAAAGTCAACAAATAGTATTAGCAACAAGTGCTCTTTTTCCCTTAATCTCTTCATACTCAGGGAATCATCGTTGTTGCCTGGAATAACCACGTGCTCTGTTTAGCTGTAACACACTCTGGAAATCTCAGGCAACTGGTGGGGTACCTAAACTGACTTGCCAAAGCATCAGCCCCATGTGCCAGATTTGAACCAGCAGCTGAAGCCTTTGGAGCAGGATCATTGCCTTTCCTGGTGTTGTACTATTTGTTACGGTTATTTTCTGGCCAATTCGTCACATGCCGTCTGCTACTTCGGTGCCGTGTGGAGCTCAGTGTTCAACCTTGCTGTGCTGGAAACCTCCAAGGGCTGCCCAAGCCCAGGCAGGAGCACGGCCTGCCTGGCCCCGGCTGATGTGTCGGTGAGCAGGGCAGTGATTTGTACCAGTGGCAGATAGCAATGCTTGACGTGTAATTCTGCAAACATCTGATCCCACATTTGACTTCTTCCCACACAGTCCAAACCTACCGGCAGAGCAATCAGGCTGCTTTTGCTCTCCCTATGCAGGCCCGTCCTTGGGAAAGCGGCGGGGGGGGGGGGGGGGGGCGCTGGTGGGGAGCAGCGTTTCAGAGGCTGCGCTGCTCTTTGCGCAGCCCACGCGCCTCAGCTGCGTCAGGGGGTGATTCACCATCCCCGGCTGTAGAGCTGAGTTAGCGCTGATGGATGGAGCCCGATCAACGGGGGAACGTGTGGCTCTTCCGACAGCCTGAGCGGGGGCCGTGCCGCGCTCGGTGGGACGCTGCACCTCGTCTGCAGGGAGCAGCCTTGGCACAGGGGCTGGCATCAGCCCCAGCGCTGAGCAGAGACCACAGAACAGTTTGTCTTCTACCGATGGAAGCACAGCCTGAGACAGGAACGGCCTCAACGGCAGTCAGCAGAGACTGTGTCCCCCACAGAGGCCTTCCCCAAAGCCCTGCTCTCCTGGGCTGCTGCCCCATTAGGCGGCAGCAGGCTTTTCAGCTTGGCAAGAAGCTACTTGTTTCAAAGGAAAATCATTAGCAGCTCAGCCCTTTACTCGAACCTATTGCAGAGAAGGTCTCGCTCTCTCCTCCTCTCCTTATCCTAGAGAGATGCTCCTTCAAACTTGCTGTGCAGAAAATATAATGACCTTTTTCTCCTCAGATGCACTTGTTCTCATTTGCAGGCCCATGCATGCTGCTAGGGGGAGGGCACAGCAGTTAAGCACACATGAATAACCTCGCACTAGCACTGCAGACATCTGTATGATTTTTTTTTTCCCAATGGTTCTAGTACCAAAATATCCCAGGCACAAAGGGATTTGGACCCTACATTTACAGCTAATGATCTGTACAGGCCTCTAAGGAAACTGCACAGTAGCCCTGCTAATGGCTTCAAGGGGAAATGCTTCAGGCCCTGGCTGCTGCTGGTGCTGCTCGGGGAATTCTGCTTTCAGCTCCGGCATGCGATAAAAACCTTTCCTTACTGTTGCAGACATGATGGCTTTTCTGGAGAGAGGAAAAGGCATTGACTGAGCTAATGCCATTAACTGCCTTTAAGCACACACAGAGGATGTAAAAGCAAACACCGCCCGGTCATTCAGCCACTGGGGTTAGCTCAAACCAGCCCATACATTCCCCAGCGTGCCTGGCGTGCCCTGCTCTCGGGGCGCCGTATCACTGCCCTTCTCCAAGTGCTGCCTGCTCCCCCCACCCCAGGAGAGAGCAGGCAGTGACAGAGGGCCCTGGGCATAGACCTGGGGCACTCGTGATCTCCAGGGCACTGAAGGTCCCCCGCTGCGGGCAAGGCAGCCTCGCAGCCCCCACCCTGGGGAAAGCACTGCAGGATAAGCTTTCCCCGGTGTTTCATTTCCCCCTCTTCGCCTGCCCCTTCCCTCCCTGGGAAAGGCGAGGGGAGCTTTGCCTGAAAAAGAGCTGCAAGATGCACTTCTTTTGCGAGGTGTGTCTCAGCAGTGCCAGCCTGAGCGTGCTCAAATCCAGCCGTGGCCACTGTCACCTGCCGCATCTCGCTGCCCATCACGGGCTGAGCGTCACCTGGGGCAAGAAGGTGCCTGTTCTGAGGGGGGCTCCCCCCTCTCGCCATTACCCCTTCCTGTGCAAACCACCCCGGCGTGCCTCCCTCCTCAGACTGACTCACACTGAGGCAATGGTAAAAGCTTCTCGCTGGTGCGGTGGCAAATTTTGCAATCTGTTTTAATGAGATATTTACAAGTTTGGAGGCTGGCTCCTTGCCCGAGGAGTGAGGCCAGGCCCCGGCATCTGCTTTCCCCGGTGTTTCATTTCCCCCTCTTCGCCTGCCCCTTCCCTCCCTGGGAAAGGCGAGGGGAGCTTTGCCTGAAAAAGAGCTGCAAGAGATGCACTTTCTTTTGCGAGGTGTGTCTCAGCAGTGCCAGCCTGAGCGTGCTCAAATCCAGCCGTGGCCACTGTCACCTGCCGCATCTCGCTGCCCATCACGGGCTGAGCATCACCTGGGGCAAGAAGGTGCCTGTTCTGAGGGGGGCTCCCCCCTCTCGCCATTACCCCTTCCTGTGCAAACCACCCCGGCGTGCCTCCCTCCTCAGACTGACTCACACTGAGGCAATGGTAAAACCAGCCTGAGCGTGCTCAAATCCAGCCGTGGCCACTGTCACCTGCCGCATCTCGCTGCCCATCACGGGCTGAGCATCACCTGGGGCAAGAAGGTGCCTGTTCTGAGGGGGGCTCCCCCCTCTCGCCATTACCCCTTCCTGTGCAAACCACCCCGGCGTGCCTCCCTCCTCAGACTGACTCACACTGAGGCAATGGTAAAAGCTTCTCGCTGGTGCGGTGGCAAATTTTGCAATCTGTTTTAATGAGATATTTACAAGTTTGGAGGCTGGCTCCTTGCACAAGGAGTGTGGCCTGGCCCCGGCAGCTGGTTGGGCTTTTCATTGACATTCCTGCAACTCACCCGATTGCAGCACAGGCAGTGGAAAACATTTAGACATCAGAAATGCCAGATTAATTATCTCTTAATTGATACCTCCACTTGGGGACAAATGAAACCGGAACATCTCTACTGGCCTGGGAGCCTGCCACTTACAAACAGATTTACAGCTAAAAATACCGCAGCAGTCCCGTGGCTAATCAACTTCGCTGCTTACCCTGGGTGAGGTTATGAAATTGTGCCGGGCTGGCACTGCAAGCAGTGAGGGATCATCTACAGCACCGGCGCCCGACCGCAAACCCCTCGAGGACTGCGCGGCACTCCCAGCGCCCACGAGCGCACTGCCAGGCAAGGGGCAGCTCGCCCCGCATCAGCCCCACGGCAGCCTCAGAACCGCGCAGTTATGTTTCTCGAGCCTCCGATCCAGCCAGAGTCCCAACACGAGGCTTCTCGCATGTTCCTGCCCCTGTCGTTTACACGCTGCAGGGAGAAAACCTCACCCGTGCGTCTTGTAAGAGACCTTAAGTGCCCGGTGCGTTTCCCTGCAGTGTAAGATTTCCAGCTGGCTCAGGAATCGCGCTCGGTGCTTGCGAGGGCCTTTCTGTGCGGTGCCCTCCTGCAGCTACAACACATCCCAAGGGATCTCTTCTCCCCCACCCCATCTCCTTGCAGGAACACACACACACAGAGGCCAAATCGCCACAGCGACCCCAGTTTCTTTTAAATTACTGTCATCTTTATTTTCTTCACGTATGTGCAAACAGAGGAGATCGCAATGGTGGTGTTCTTAAAAATAACAAAATGTATTTGCATACATTTCCCT